AATATATCTGTTCTAATTTTAGTTTTAAATGCAGCAGCTCTGTATTGCCTGTAAATTGTTAGATTTTATTTAGCTATAATTCTTGAATGAGCAGCAATTGACTCAAGTGCTTATTCTTTCTAACACTCACCCGTTTGTTCCCTTTCACAATAAGCCCATAGGTACAGGATGTTCCTCAGGTATTTGAATTAAGGATTTGTTTGTAATCCCATTACTCTGTGGGAGCTAGCCCTGCAACGCCCACCAGATGGTGCTATAACCCTATCATTCTTCACCAGGTGGCCCCATGATTCCATCCCTTGTCACCAGATGATGCTGTTGTATGAATCTGTTATATTTTACCCTGCTATAAAGACAAGCTACTTTGGCACGCTTGCCCAGTGACGCTTCCAATCCTATATACCTTAATGAACACATTTAAAAGCCTCTTTTTAAAGCTAGTCTTGGTTCCAGGACATGTAACTATTGACATAGTTTGAGGTTCCTTTGTTGTGCTGAATGTACTATGAGGTGGGACACTCCCCACCTCAAAGTTACCATCACACCCACAGTGATGCCTGCCCTGTTCGCCTCCAGACTGTCCCCGTCACGCAGCATCCCCAGGGGCTCCTACAGCAGAAATCTGGAGTTTTTCTAATGGGTGCTATGTAGCATGACTCTCTTGTGGTTGCAGGAGTGAAAGGCCCAGTGTCTGAACTGAGATATTAATTAAAGAGAAGGGGCAGAGATGTCCTAGTAGGAAGCTAGGGAGTCTCTCCTCTAGGATGACCAGACAGCAAGTGTGAAAAATCGGGACGGGAATGAGGGGTAATAGATGCCTAAATAAGACAAAGCCACAAATATTGGGACTGTCCCTATAAAATCGGGACAGCTGATCACTCTAATCTCCTACCTACAGCCCCTCCCTTCTGCTGGGATGTTTTGAAAATACAAGTGCAAGTCATTGGGTGCAGCCTGATGCATTCAAAAGGCAATACATTGCAATTCAGCAGAAGCTTTCTGAACCAGAAATAAAAGCTGCCCCAGCAGGGTTGGTTTAGCTGCATCCACAGAGGTACAAAGAGCAGCTCAAGAAGCAGGGAAATTCTGCCCCTTGATCTTCTGTGGAATTGAAAGCCTGGACAGCTTGTAAATTGTGAGCCATAATTCACTGCAGAGCTCAAACGCACACATAGCCAGAATGCCTGCCCTCGCCCAGGTATTTCTCCCACTCCAACGGTTCCACTGAGCACCAGATGTTTCACATGACAGGCTTGCTTTCAGAAGCTATTTTTACATGTGTGTGCCTGCATAATGCAGCACTGGGCCTCTAGACAACAGCATCAGGGACCTCAGGATAACAGAGAATGTGGTGGTAGGTCTAGACAGCAGCACCCAGAAACTCAGAGAATGGAATGCCAGTTTGTTGGTACCATCACACATATCCCCATATGGCTGAGCTAGCAGGGCTGCTCTTTCAGCTCACAGAGTAGAGTTGTAGTGCTGAAGATGGTTCTCTTGTATACTTAATACTGCCCTTAGTATGTATGCATTATGATACAGTCTACTGACAGGCAGAATCACAACCTATCTTTTTCAGAGGCCCACCCTGCTTCATTTGGTGTGCAGGATGAACAGTGGATGAGGCTGGATCCCAGAGCACACCTGTTTCACTCATTGCAGAACCAGATGATGTGAATGGACTGAGGTAAGGGGCTGCCAAAAGAGGCAGGTTTGCTTGTAGTTAAGGCACTAGACTCAAGAGTGGGATTTAGGCTCTTTTCCTGCCTTATCCACAGATGCTGAGCCCATGGGCAAGTTGTTTAAGCCAAAATTTTCAAGTGTGGTCTCTGATTTTGGGTGTCCCAATTTTTGTATTATTTCTCCCAGGACCTCAACGAGCAAAGCAGATAAACATTAGCACAACGCTTTTAAACATATTTCTTCCTTCAATTACACATATATGAGAAAAGAAAGTTTTGTGCTTTGTGCATCCCTAAGAGTAGGTTCCTTAAACGTGATGTTTGTACTAATGATCTGACATTGACAACGATAGTACCATCCTGTGAAATATTCTCTGTGCAGACACTTTGCCATGCTACATGCTATCAGGCAGGCAACCTCATTATATAGAAATGTGCAATTCTGGAGACAGTTAAATAGAGTGGTGAGTGAGTGGAAACTCCTTTGTGATTATCAGTATTAACTCTCTTTGGTGTTCTGCACACTTCCTGCCCAGTCCATCCATCTTCTGTGCATGCTGCCATGACTGTGATCCAATCAGAGCGCCTAAGCCAAGTATAGGTGGACTGGGTTAGTACTCGGGTCAGAGACGTCCTGGGGACTGCTGAAAGTATGGCTGGGAATTAACTAAGTGGCACTCTTTCCTCTAAGTTGATACTGAATTAGTGTCCCAGCCTGGTGCTATAGGGCGCTTTGCTGCTGAAGGTGGCAATTTTCAGATGAAATATGAAGCCAAAATTTTGCTCTTGCATGGATCATTCAAAAATCACATGGTTCTTTTGGCAAGAGTAGACTGTTATGTAGAATGTATCTTGCCATGGCCCCAGAGTTATGTAAAATGTTCCTGGATACAGGAACTATCTTTCCTACAAGTTTAATCTAGTGTATAACATGGCTGGGCAGTGCACTCAAACATGAGAATGGACAGACTGGGTCAGACCAATGATCCATCTAGCCCTGTATCCTGTCTTCAGACAATGGCTGGTGCCAGATGCTTCAGAGGGAATGAACAGAACAGAGTAATTTATCGAGTGATCCATCTCCTGTCCTCCAGTCACAGTTTCTGGCAGTCAGTGGTTTATGGACTTCTGGAACATGGGGTTGTGTCCTGGATCAACTTGGCTAATAGCCACCGATGCACCTATCCTCCATGCATTTACCGGATTCTTTTGCAACATTCCAGTCTAGTGGTGGTAGGTGAAGTAACTCATCACACAGTGTGTCTGCAGTGCTTTGGGATCCTTCAGAACTCAATGGGCTATACAAATGGGAGGTATTATGATGTCTAAAGTAAGTTGTAGCCAACTTGTCTGTTGTGCAGAATCCATCTGCACCTGCACATCTACAAACTGCATTGTCCTGGGGGGAAATGGTTTCTGGAAAAACACCTGCCTTTGAAATGGCTCAGTGCTTGGAGTGGATGTGAATCTCAGGGTTTAGCAGTCATTGCTTTGAATATTAGAGAAAGTTATTAATGAAAGTGAATCAGAGCAGATTGTGTGTTTATAGAGGGAAAGGAAACAATAGTGCAGGAATGTTTATGTAACCATCCAAATAGAATTGGTTGGCGACACTTCTTATCAATGAATGGTTTTCTGATAAACTCTGCACAAAAAGCTTCATGCATGAAGGAAACAAGGAAAACTATGTGGCATCCTTCCACATAAATAGAAGGGAAACAGGTGGTGGAAGGGGGAAGGAGATATTAAGGAAGAGTGATTACATGCAACATCAGAAACTACTGCTCTTAGATTCTCAATGGGATATTTTTTACAGTTTTACAAGTCTCTGAGTGAGACTTGTAAAACTGCATAACTTTGGGTGAGAAAGAGACTAAAGAGATATTTCCACAATATATGGCAGGTGCCACTGAATCAGAAATGGACCATCATGTACCAGGGGCACATTGTTTAAAACCCATCCACCTTATTACCACGGTGAAACCTGACCTATAACGTACATATATGTGTGTGTGTGTGTGTGTGTGTGTGTCCTTTTCCAATTCATCTCCATTCTTTTCAGTGAGGTTACACCAGGGATGAATTTGTCCCAAATATTTGATGTATTAACTTCAGCAACACCTGTTTTCCTTATAGGGCTAGTAAGACTGTCAGAATGGAATTCACGTCCTAAGTGATGTGTCCTAAGTAGGTAGGGAGAGACAGACAGACCCACCTGTTTTGGCTGTTGAGTAGGTAGGACAAAAGGCAATGCAGTTGGATAATGGAGGTTGTTGTTGACACTCTGAACAACAATTTAAAGAGTGGAGTTCAGTTATACCCTTTGCATCTGCTATAAATGAAATAGTTTCATAAGGCTGAGTTGGTCCGGGAACAAATTCTGCAACAAACAGTGCAGTATGCAACACAATCAGGCTTCCACACCCAGATGCCCTCTTGAAGCAAACAGCTCTTTCTAAATGCTCCTGGTGCCTCATTACCGTAGCTAAGCACCTCTCAGACATTAACATATGTCTCCTTACAACACCCCATATGATAGGGAAGTATGATTGTCCGCAGCTTGCAGATGGAGAACTGAGGCATAGAGATGATGTGACTCACGTAACATCACACAAGAAATCTGTACCAGACCTGGGGTTTGAACACGGTTGTCCTGCGTCTCAGTCCTGTGCCTTAACCAGAAGATCATTCGTCATCTCTTATACGCAGAGCAACCATGGCTTTTAAACAACAGTTTACCCACACTCTTTTATCTAAAAGTCAGCAACCCTCTCATGGTGATAAGTGCCAGTAACAAAGGACAGTGTGTCTAAAAATGTGCAATCAACCCAAAGGCAAACGCAACAAGAGAGAAACATCCCATCAAGCTGTACAGTGTGTAGATTCTGGCTCCTTCTCCCTGATGTTTGTTTATTGTATAGCTTAAAAAATAGAAAAAGCACAGACAGACTATTCTAGGAGAAGTTATTAGGAAACCTTGTCTTAAAATGGTGGGAAAACCAGGAGCCAAAGAAACAAATATGGAAGGAGAAGCATTTTTTAATTGTGAAAATATTTGTTCGGCCTGGGATGAGCTGCAGACTGATGAGTCTCCCTGCAGATATGGCTATCAGTCGACACTGGTGCCTGGCAGAAGAATGAAGCAAGGGACAAGTTTTTAAGTGTGTGGATAAAAGTTGTAGAATGTTTTGGAGAAACCACCCCGCCTCCCCATGTCACAAAGACAGATCTGGGATGAATGAGTTGTCTGGCCCTTCCCACTTTGTGAAGTCATTGGCTGCTTGGTTCTAAGAGGGATTTAAAAAAGGAGAATAATTTGCCTTTGCCTGGGATTTGAGACTGTGAGAGTGCTGAAAGGTGAATCTCTGGGCTGCCACTATGCAGATCTCTTGGGCTGTGTGCTCTATCTGTGTCCTGATCCAAATTGCTGTACGCTCAGTAGAAGGGTGGCAAGTGTTTAAAAATGATGCCACAGAAATCATCCCTGAGCTCCCTGAAAATACAGAAACACCAGTGGAGCAGACTAACAGCAACAACAACACAATGAACCAGGCAAAACACGGGGGAAGACAGCCACAGCCGTCTCTGGATCCGAACGGTAAGAAAAATAAATGTTATATTACAGCCTCGGAACCTAACAACCTAACAACTTCCAGTGGGGTTTTCTGTTACCTTGCCTGAGCATATAGTGATGAACTAACACTGGATAAAGTGCTGTAGAGCTAATGCTGTAGTGATAACAAATTCAATCTCCTGTTTGCCCTTCCCAGTGTTTGCCATGTCGTTTCTTAAACAGAGACAAGTAGTAGTGGTTATTATCCATCAGGGAAATAAGATGTTATCTAGATCTAACAGTTTCACATCTACTTAATTATCTATTGGTACTTATGTGGCCCACTGCATAGTAGTATCTCAATGTCTGCTCTGTTACAGAAGTTATAGTGGCTTTTTTACAACTGCAGGTGGAGTTTAGCACTGTAAAATGATCAGAAATAAATCCATCTAAATAGCTAAGGAGCTATAATCAGAGCAGCTGCAATGTGGCGGTGTGCGACACTGAACTGGCCTGGGCAAAAGATATTTTTACCATAGCAGGACTGGCCAGTAATATTAGTGACTGACATGATTTACTGCTGTCCTGATGCTGTAAACACAGTGAGCAGGTATCCGGGGGAACCCGTCTTCCTTTGAGAACAGAACAGGGCAAGGGCTGGGGAAGGAGGTGATAATGAGAGCATTGTTAAATATTCTTAGAGGAACACTCCAATTATGGTTGTTAGCTCGGATGTATGATTGCGCTGAGCTGTGCTAGAGAAAGGTGCTGCTCTTAGTGTCTCATGGGCAGACTCCAGTAGGCGACATAAGCCTGTTATTAGCAGTTTAAAGCTTTCACAGAGGGAATCCACAACTGAATGTGATCAGTGGGAGGAGCATTTATTCTTCTGGGGGCTCTCTGTTCTGCAGAGCTGCAACTTGGACTGATACTTTAAATAGAACCAACAACATCAGGAGGCATCCCGAAAGAAACTCAGCATGGTACCAGGGCATTCGGCTAAAGATCCGACAGCACCAATGGCTCAGAAATGCAAGTGCTTGGGCTGGGGAAGAGGAAGAGAATGGTCAGGGGAGTTGCCACCAGCACTGCCAAGAAAAAAAGAGTTTAAAAGTGAATTCCATGCTGGCAAAAGGTGCCAGATTGATCCCTACAGACTGGAATGTGTTTAGTCCCAGAGCAGATGGAGGGCAGAATTCCCACACCCACTGTGTGATTAAGGGGAGATTAAAGGTGAGAAGGGAATTAAGTCTCCAGTCAGGGTCCATTCAGTCCCTGGCCTCTGTGCTGAGGCTATCAGGAAGAGAACTAAATCATGCTGTCTCTGAGGGTTCTCTAGGATGGTGGTATGTGCTGGTTTGGGAACTGGACTGAGACCCCCCAAACTTATCACAAACATGGGGCCAGAAAAATATTTGTAAAAACACATGCACCCCTTTTCTTTTTCTGAATGGGGTCAAATTCAAAGGTTTTAATAACATCCCAGCATCATGACAGGGCACAAATCCCTCCTCCCAGCCCCTCCCTGCCACAGTCCCATGGAATGCTCCTGCCCAGGCCCAGCATTGGCTGCCCTCCCTAGCAGCAGACCACGTAGCAGATCCAATATCTTCAAGGGAGGAATTTGTCTTGCTGTTGGGAAGAAAGTTTGACTTTTGGGAGTGTCTCTCACTACCTTAGAATTGTGCAGTCTGCCTCCCTGCCACCTATGGGAACACTTAAGACTCTGAGGGGGGATTTTTATTTCATGACCCCTCAAAGAGACTTGGGGTTCTCTCGAGGAATGCCATGCACTTGTATAGCTGCATTAGTGTCTTTAGTGGAGTAGGGTGGGGGTAGGTATCAGAGCCACAGTGCAATAGATGTTGTCCCTACCAGAAATGAGGCTACTTGAGACTAGCACCGATGTGGCATCATGTGGGATCAGCGTGCATGTAACACGGACGGATGTGTGTCGACAGAAGCAGCGACATGTCTGAGGCATGTGCCAAGGTGTCTAATATAGCAGTATGTATGTGCCCCACTGCTGAGCTGGCATAAAAGGCCAGAGTCCGAAACATTAAGACTACCCGAGTCAAAACTCAATTTCTTAAACGCTCAGGAAGTGTGTGAGTATAAAAGATCTGATTAACCTGTCTCACTAAATCATACAGGGTCTCAGTATCAGCATGTTAACCACAATACTAGACCAAAAATGTTTAATCTGGTAAATGCAGTCTTTAGAATTGCTAAAATATGAAGCTGCAAAATCTATATTTGCATGACTATAGCCCCCTCCCGACTACTCCTGTGTGTAAAGTTAAACTTGTGCAAAGTGTTTACAGGGTTGGGGCCTAAGTCTGAATGAATAGACATACAGTATATCCAGAAAGCAGATCTCTGCTGGGTTAAAAAAAATGCTGGTTCTGTAGCATAGGGGGAAATCCTTAAAAATTCACTGAGAGAAACATGAGTCTAAAAAACATTACACCACTAAAAAATTCAGAATTAAAGCTACTAGTCTCCTTTGGTGGCCTTAGCAGAGATGTGCCTTTTTCACAGCAAGGAGAATGGATGACAACTGCCTTCTCTTTGGTTTTCCACCTTTGTAGGTTTTTGTCACAATTAAATTCTTGTTTGTGCTCCATGTATTTCTTTTGCTTAGACGAGAGGAATAAAGTGTGTTCAGATAGATGAAGTTCAATACCTTATTTGCTAAACAGTCTTCACAATCAGTCTGCATACATTCCAAACATGTGTAGCTAAGCACATTGGTTGAACAAAGACAGAAAGAAACCCTCATGGACAGGGCTGGCTCCAGCATTTCTGCCGCCCCAAGCAAAAAAAAAAAAAAAAAAGCCGTGATCGGTGGCGGCAGTTCAGCGGCAGGTCCTTCGCTCCTAGAGGGAGTGAGGGACCTGCCGCCCCCGAATTGCCGCAGGTGCCGCCCCTCTCCCTTGGCCGCCCCAAGCACCTGCTTGTTAAGCTGGTGCCTGGAGCCGGCCCTGCTCATGGAGACAGTGGTCTTTCCTGTTCTGATGATAAATGCATCTGCAGCATCAATTATTTAACTGGAAAGTTCTTTGCCTATGAAAGGAGCTTTTCTAAATCCTTAGAGCGAAAATCTCATATTTTCTACTGTGTCCCTTGCCTCTGGCAATCTATTAAAGCACAAGCAAAAGCCTGGTAAGGTTTCTAATTTGGCAGAAGATGCCTCTGTCTGACTGAAGGCAATGACATGGATGATGTGGGATTAGAACAGAGAGTGGGAGGTCAGGAATGCCAAATGAGTGGTGAATTAATGGGTTTTCCAAGAGGTGGGAACTCCATCCTTAGTCACAGTTCCCATCTGCTAGTTTCCTTATTGTTCTTGTTATTAGTCATGTGACACCACAAGGGACTCTGGAGACCAGAACAAGGAGACCTGTAACATGTCTGATGCTGGTCAGAAACCTTTGCAAGGATCCATGGCCCTTTACAGAAAATAGAGGGGACAAAGTCAGCACTGGTTCACACCTGTGCAGGCCGGCTAAGTGAGGGTGGAGTGGCAGAAGTGCAGGCAGAATTTGGTTATAAGAATTTTGATTTTGATTTTCACCAAAACTTTGGACCAGGTTTTGCTCTTGCTTACTCCAGTTTAAATCCAAAGTGAGCAACTGAGATCAATGGAGTTAAACTAATATAAATGAGAGAAGGTTTTTAGCCCACAGGTGGCTTGAAGGGGCAGAATCTGAGTCTGTTGGTCCTCTATTGCCCTCCTGCAGCTCACCCCCAGTGACTCCAGTGGTGTTATTCCAGAATCACACAGGTGGAAATGAGCAAAATTTAACCCTTAAACATCTTTATTTCTGCCCAGAGAGGTCAATGCTGTTCTGATTCCTGCCTCAACTTCCTGCACATCCTCTTTGCTTCCCTTTTAGCTCACGTGTTTTCCCATGCAGCACCTGATATGCCTTTTTCCTACGTGGCCCTGCAGGTTTTAATCTCTTGTTTATACAACACTGAGCCGCAATCTCCCCTGTAGTACTGGGGTGTTTGGATGCAGGGTTTGGTGCAGAGCCAGCTCTTATTGTTCAATTTCTGAATGATAGAGAAACAGATGCTTCTTTATGCCAATACCAGCCTCTCTCCTGCCTGGTGTGCAGCTTCCTGGGTAGGAGAGAACTTTACCTGACATTTCCAGGTGATGCTCGATCGACTCTAACCATCTCCTCGGGGGCTTTATTAGTACAATTTTGGATAAAAATGTGCTGGTTTAAAGGTCCTGGAGCTGGATTTCAGCTGCAACATGAGGCTAGAAGCACGGTGAACATGAAGGGATGGAGATGCCTGTAACGAGTTTGTTTTTTCTTTGCAGATGCCTCAGATTTCAGCTGCAGAGAGCTGCGCTACACACGGTATGTCATTGATGGGCCCTGCCGCAGCTTCAAGCCCATAAAGGAGCTGGTCTGCTCAGGCCAGTGTTTCCCCTCCCACCTCCTCCCTAACTCTATTGGCAGAGGAAAGTGGTGGCGCCAGAATGCCCTGGATTACCGCTGCATTCCCGCGCACGCTCGCACTCAGCGCATCCAGCTGGCCTGCCCCCAGGAAGAGACTCGGACTTACAAAATCCGAGCTGTCACCGCATGTAAATGCAAGCGCTACACTCGCTACCACAACCAGTCTGAGCTGAAGGACTTCGGGAAGGAAACCATCAGGCCTCAGAAAAACAAGAAGCCTCGTCTCTCCAGAGCAAGGGGCAGCAAATCCAACCAGCCTGAACTAGAAAATGCCTATTAGAAGGTCCCTTCTGAGAGGTACCGCCCAACAGCTCTGGATATTTTGCATTTCATCAAATGGCAGAGACAGACAGGCCACAGAGTAAGGTTCTGAATGCAGTGGAATCCCATTCCTCCTGCAACGCTAGGACAAGGGCTCGCATAGTCAAAACTATCAGATTCTAACAGCTGTGGTCTGATGAAAGAGAGAAATTGAGCTGGTGGGAGCAGCACCTAAATTCAATCTGAAAGGAGAGTTAGCCTGGGAATTTGCATGGGGTTTTGTGGTGTGCACACTGAGGAAGGCAGAGGAAGCAAAGGTATTATGGTGACTGTTCCATATATTACACTTTGCAAGAGGTCATTATCCTTACTTTGTCCGAACAGAGCCTTGAAAGCGCTCTCAAAACCACTTCAGGCAGGACAAGAACAAGAGTAGGGAAACAACAGGAGAAGAGTCAGCAAGCTTTGACTGAGTTTTAGGAAGTAGCAATAGCAGACTAAGGAAATTCAAATGTTTTAGTGAAAGAGAATAAAGTCCTGCCAGATTTCTGCATGCCCAAGTAATTTCCTTAAATGAGGAGAAACATGAGTCAAACATGAAATTTGTGATCCCAAAGTGCAAGTATAAATGTGAATCTGAGCCATTCCATATCTTTACTCTTATAGTACAAGACTCAACAGATTTAAGGTTGAGATTTGACACCATCAGAAATGACTTTGGGATATTGCTCAGTTGCTGGAGAATGAGGCAGATGGCCACATGGAGGCCCCTCCCAAACCCCATAACTCTATGATGTTCATCTTTTAAACAGATATATGGAGGGCCAAACATATTTTTCCTAGAGTTTTTCAAACTACTTCTAACACAGCTGAGTAATTTACAGTGAGGGCCAATAGGAAGGATACAAAGTATTTGCCTTACTCCTCCAAAAGCAAATTAACTTTAGCATCAGAGCTGAGATGTCAGCTTCTTATGTTCTCTGTTCTGCAAAGTTTGGATCATCTGACCATATGTTCTGTTTTGCTGGACTGGGCATGGCAGGTTCTGAGGGTAAGGTGCTGGTTCCATATTAGCGTGAGCCTATGCTAATTTGAAAACCAGTGAACTCCTTCGGAGAAGTCTTGGCTATGTGCAGTTCAGTTTGACAATGTCTTTCCTTTTAAATAGCTTCACACCATTCATACATGTGTTTGTGTTTTTACATTAAAGGGTATTATTGGAAAGTTAATATTCAAATGCTGTACATATGCTTTAGGACTGCAAACCGTAGTATCACATAATACAAAATTTGGATGGAAAATAATTCCTTGCTGTTCTTATTTTCTGTGTACAGTTGACGTAAAAATCTTCTAAGATGTGAGTTTAAAACTTTGGTAGATTTTGCAACTATTTTAAGTGGAACCAGAATCTAAATGTGAAAGCTATTGTTTCAAAGAGTAAGTTACATATTTATTTTCTCATGTAAATTATTTATGCAAAGTTTTTTCTTGTAGAGAATGAGAAGTAATACTGCTTGCAAAATGTTAGTCTGTTATTTCAGATTTTAAATATATTGTTAATAAAGTAGTGACAATGAGTAATTACAGGAAAGACTTGTGTTAATTTTTAAGTCACAGTGCAAAGAAAGCCTGATGCAAAGCTACTGGGATCTGGTTCTCATAGCTGCAGTGAAGTCCATTACGAACAATCAGTTCAACATACCCCGCAATCTAAGAAGCAAATTCTTCAGTTCCCAAGAGTGTCAAAGCCTATGTGTGCTCCCTTTAGTGCAGCACAGTTCTCTATCATTGTAGTCCTCAGTCAGCTCCCTCTAACAATTCACAGCACAGAACAGGGTCTGGCTCCAGCCAGTGAACCACACTTCTCTGCCCTAGAGCATCAAGGTCTTGAATCTAGTTTCACACATTATGACCTAGGTCACTACAGAAATGCAGGCCTTGAGCTGCTGTCTCCAGTACACCATACATCTCGTGGAGAAGCACAACCTGGGCAGTGAAGCAGTTCAGTGGTGTTTCAATCTACTTTAATTCTCTTCCTCCTCAGGGAAGGAAAGGCTCTGCAGAATTGAACCGTCCTCCATCTGGATGGTGCCTCCTGGCTCAAACATTCACCAGCTGATAGAGCCACCAAAAAAACAGTAAGGCCATGAGCTTTCAAGTTGTTCCAAACTCTCTCATTGTGAAAATGGGGAAATCCCTTTGCTTAAATAACCAAGCAGCAATTGGCTTTCCAATATTTCTGGATACGGTGTACTCGCGTCTGCCCTCACTTCTGCACGTCAGCCGCGCTTAAAGAATATGGGAGTTGCTGCTTGCATCCATGTAACTGAAGGCCTAGAGTACATCCGATTTGCATGTCCATTCACTGTGAATTTCAATGTAGTAGATAGTGCTGGGCAGGACTAGAGCAACCAGCTGGTAAGGCAGCCCTTCACAGTAACCCGTGAATACTGCTCCTTATTGCTAATTCAAAGCCTCGGTGTGGAAACTGGACACAGATTTTGCTGGATACTTGAGCCAAATTTTTCAAAAGTGATCTTTGATTTTAGGTCCCTCATTTGTTGCGTGTCCATCATGAGACCCTTCGGGCCTAATTTTATGAAGGGATGAGCACCCACAATTGCTACTGAAATCAGTGGGAGCTTGCAGGTGTTAAGCACTTATGAAGATCAGACCCACGGTGTCTCAAGCTGGGCACCCAAACACTGAGGCATCCAAAAGTAGTGGACATTTAAAAAAAATGTTTGCCCTGCCAGTCTGTTGCAAAGAGACTTGCCTCCCAGGGTCTGCGTGATAGTTCTTCTGAAACATCGTATCTAATTCAAACCCAGAAGATGCATCTTCAAAGTACGGGACCAAACAAAAGCTGAAACAAAATAGAAGCTAGTGCCTGGACTAGCCTCTTCACTGTCTGTGTTCCGAACTTTCTTCTCCTTTCATAAAACCTTCCGCCTTGAGCTCTTTAGCTAGGATGCCTCCAGGGCTTTCTGCAGCTGAGCTGTTGTCCAGTGTATTGTAACTGTGTCTCCGGTCACATTTTTTTGTCAAGTCCGGTGTACATTTATGGAACTGGCATCTGTCATGTTACCAGGACAGGGGGTAGGACCTGGCACCGTTTTTGTGAACAGCTGGGAAAAGATGAAACTGGAGACCTTTACAGAGATGCTTCTGATGCAGATTCCTGTGACAAACTCTCCCCCCTCCCCAACCTTACCTGGTGAGCTGCTTGCAGGGGACCCCTCCTGCCATTGCTCTTATATTTCTTCATTCTGCTGCTTAAGCAAGAGATTAGGATATAATTCTTATATCTGTCCTACTCCTCTGGAACAGGAAGGAGGATTTATGGAGGCTTCCTATCCTAACAGAGTCCCCCACTATGCCAGGGTTTGGCCAGATCAGGATAAGCCCAGCAGTGCAAAGGGGCACACTAAGTAAAAAGAGCCCCTTCCCCCCCCCCACTCATGGATTTGGGGTTTGTCTTGGGTTGGAAGAATTGCTTGTTGTAGAGCAGGAGTACATTTCAGTTCTCGTCTCATGTCACTATCTAATGACCTCCTCTTATTGCCAAAAGCAAGAGCATTGCTAAACTCTGAATACAGGCGTGAAAGGTCAAACTCAACAGTAAAAAAGATCTATTTTCTTTCTTTTATTTAAATTGCTGAAGCACTGCTTTGCACGAGAAACCTGAATAGCTACATGACATTTGATTGCACCCTCATTCCCATTTTCTTCCCTTTCTTGCATTACCTATTGCTTCACAACTATAAACTCCTTGGGGCAAGGACTGTGTTTTCAGATATGTTTGCACAGCACCGAGTACAATGGGCCCTGATCCTGATTGGGGCTTCTGGGTGTTGCTGTAATACAAATATTAAATGATATCTCCTTACGAGGGCAAGCTCATCAGGAGGGTGTGTGTGCAGGAGAGAACTACCACAGTGAAGGGTCTTGAGAAAAAGACTTAAATGTTCTAATTCACAGAAACATCATTGCCACTAAAAATCCCAACTCAGGCAGCAGTTACCCTTCAGGGAAGTTAGTCCTGAGACTTTGTACTTTCCCCATTTTTTTCCTTGTGTGGAAATAATGATCCACAGCAGCGAGGAAGCAAAGGGAATTCTCCCACACACCAACACTGGAAAGTCCTGGATTCCTCTTTTCTGCCTTACATTCATTTATTATTATTGCTATTTTATTTCTTGCACTGATAAAAGTAAGATTTTTCCAGTAACTATTGTACAGTGAAAGAAGAACATTCACACAGCACAAACATTCTGCTGGCAGTACCAGGAGTCTTGCATGATTCACCTTTTTAAAATTGTCCTCTTTAGTACATAGTTTCTACCCAGCCTAGTGGGCTCAGTGTTCATAAATTCTGCAAACCAGGTTGCAAAACTCATGAAGTGCAGAAGAAACAAACATGCATTTTGTTTTTAGCAATATGATGTCAACTTATAATTAGCTTGTTGCACTCAAAGTAGTACAGTATAGAGGAATCTAGAACAACTTTTCTATGGTAAACATGCTCAGGAGGCTTAAATTAACATAGAATATATTTATATGTAGTTTGAATTTAAATAGAGTATATTGCACAGTTGTAACCTGAAATTTGAAAAAACTGAGGCTCTCCTTAATAGGCAAGTAATGCATCCTACTTTAAAACTAAACCACAGTTTAAAATAAGGTTGGCCCATGTTGCTGTCCTCACAGCATATACAGCCTTCTGATGTTACCCAGGTACACAGTGCACAGACACAACAGAGTGGTGCCCCTGCTCGTCTCTCAGCAATTCCAGATGGCAATGTTGAGCAACATAATTCCTGGCCAAGAGCTCGCAAATGCAGCAAGCCGCACGATTCAGTCTTGTCCCCCCTTTTGTGCAGCTGCTGGGGGAGTTTGTGCCATGGCTTGGTCTGACATTCTGCTTTGTCTCCTTTTCACTGATCCTAGAGTCTGCTGTTTCTCTGCAAGCTTTGGTTTGGGTTCAGCAAGGAACAGAGTGAATGGTCTGGAATTGAGCCCCCATGGGAAGGAAGTAATGCGGCCCCTCTATGCCTGGAATAACCTGCCCTGATCTTGTGCACTATGACCCCACTCCGTTGCCAATTAACGATAATAAAATTACATTTAAAATGAGGAAAAAAACAAAACTAAAAAAATAAAATCAGGGTGAAGATAAAACGCATATGCACAAAACATGGTACATATTAAAATAACCATATGAATTATTACCACTATAGGAATGTCAGAGTGTTAAACTTGCCTTTTCCACTGTCTCATGTTGTCTCTCTCTATGTCATGGGTAAATTACATTGTAAACCCTATAAGGAAAAGACAGTGTTGGTAATTTGTCTGTAAAGTGGCAGGCACTCCTGTGGTGCTGCATTACCATTAAAGCAGACTGGTGGGTCAGAAGGATTCATCTAGCAGAATAATAATGTCCAGGATTTGTAGCTCTTTTAATCACCAAAACATTTTACTTATTTTTCACAGCCCCTCAAGGAGGTGGGGTATGATTAAGGTCCCTATTTTATAGCTGGGATATCCAAGGCACTAAGAGGTCAGGTGACTTTGCCCAAGGTCACAGGGGAGAGGGGACGGCACTGTCTGAGACAGGATTAAAGCTAAATTGTTTCTGACTCCCAGTCCTGTGCTCAGACCACTAGACTGTGTCTCCCTGTAAGGAATGGGGGGTAGGGGTGGGGATGGGGAAGGGCAGTCCTACCCGTTTCATGGACTCAGAGCCCTAATGGCTCCTTTGCTGCGCCAGCTGTTGTAGCGCTAGTGTCTTTTCCCACCTGTAGCTGGACAGAAGAAGATTGTGGCTTGATGCCTTTGTCATCTTCAGGCTGTAGAGACTGTAGAGACTCCTGGCAATTCCCATCGCGCTCAGCTACAGTTGTGGGTGCTCAGCCGGTCACGAAAATCAGGCCCCTTTAAGCTCTCCCAAACAGAGCTCCCAAGAACAGAGGCACCCAACGCTCCAGCCCCTTTTGAAAGTATTGGCCATGACTGGGCTGGGGCTGGGCATGGCCAGGGAGTTGCAGATGGAAAGAAAGAAGAAATCTGCAGGCTTGGCATGAGAAATACATCTCATATGGCTCTTGTTCAGATAGTGGGCAAAATTGGTTTGCTTCAGGCATTTGTGTCTAGCTCTCTAATCCATCCCTTCCTTTTCCCTGGTGCTAGAATGTGCTAACACGTCTCCATTGGTACAACGGTCTTCTGCTCTACTGACAATGAGAGGGTCACTTTTGTAATGTGAATGACTGTCACTCTCGATTAGCTATTCAGTGAAGGCATCAGATTCCAGTTGGAACGCTGCTCTGCCAGGGTGCCAAAACTGTCAACAAAAATCTCGACAATGGGTAGGCAGCCTGTTTGCTGTCTCTGCTGTATGTCATGCTGACCAGTAGCAGCTCATTGTTTCCACGTGCTCCCCCTTGTCTGTTTGTTGCAGCCACCAGTTGTCTCTCATCTTATTCTTAGGTTGCAGATTCTTTGGGCCAGGAACTCTCTCTCTGAGGCTTTGTTGTGTTTGTTACCACATCTAGAACAATGGAGCCCTGAGCCCGGGCTAT